AGTTCCAGCAGGCCTTCTAGACTAAGATGGACTATGGAGAAAGGCCTGGTGGTCTACTTCTGAGACAACATCAGCCCGTGGGAATGCGTGGGTCACAGCAGTCTAATCTGCAGCCATTCACTGGGCTGGCGCATGGCTGGGCCTGGAGCCACCACAAGCCAGTGGGCATCTCAGGCCATCATGCTAACGGTTAACTACTCTCTCAAGACCGGCTTGCTCTCTCCTTCCCTTCTTTCTTGTGCTTTTGTTGAAACCATGTGTTTCTAAAAGGCATTTCGAGTAAAATGATAAAAGAATTATTTGGAGCCAGTACAGATTTTGATGCCATGAATGGGGCACACATGTTCCCCAGAAGTCATAGGAGCTGGAGTTGGTGGGAGGATGCCCATTTCTTCAGTCCTGCAGTGCCGCAAGCTCCCACCAGAAGGCAGCATGCATGTTAAAAACACACCTGGGCGGCAGCTTCCCACCAAACCCCCGCAGTGGAAAGTGTAGGAGAGCCCTCCCTGTCCCAGGGTCTCGGAAGGGTCCCACAGTGATTGAGCCCAGTGTGCCTGTGTTGGAGCTGCTGAGAGTGACCTGCCGTGCGTGGGACACATGCTCTCTGTTCTGTTCTCCTGTCTGCAGAGCTGCGCCTGTCCCGGTGCTGTGATGGAACAAGGCTGAGAGAGCTAGCTCCTCCCTCAGCAGAGGCCACCACTCTCCCTCTGTTAGCCACCCACATGTTGTCAACTATGTGATGTGGGCAGGACTTAGCTGGAGGCAATGAAACCACATGACCTCTCAGGCCTGTTACTGTCAAGTTGATTTTTGACGTCTGAGTGACCTTGTGAGACAGAAAAGAACTCCCCACAGAAGTTTCTGGGCTGTAATCCTTATGGGAGTAGGTGGCTAGGAATTCCTCCCATGAAACCCCTGGGTGGGTTTGAACTGCCGACCTTTCAGTTATCCGCCACATGCTTAACGACTGTGCCACCAGGGCTCCTTGGCCTGTCATTAGAATTGTTGGTCCTTGGTGATCCCTTGAGATGAGAAATAAGAGGTAGCTGTGTGTTCGTCACAGTTGAGTGCTTCTCCCATGAGTATTTCTCAACCTCCCAGGAAGGAGTTGCGGCTGTGGTTAGGGTTTTGCTGATGGGGTTGTTCCTGTGGGAATGTACTGCTGCCCTGATACCTGGTACAAGGATGCAGAATTCCTTTTCATCTTTTCCTGGGTTTTTAGCTAAAAAGTGGCCACAGACCACATTGGAGGTGGATGTGGTCAGTGGGGATCAGAGACTGGGACCCTCTCACTGCTTTCTAGTGCTGAGTTTGCAGTGGGAGCTCTTTTTATCCCGGGGCTGGTTACCATTGGTTACAGGCACACCTTTGTTTTAGGCAGCGGTTCTCAACCTGTGGCTCGTGACCCCTTTGGGGGTCGAACGACCCTTTCACAGGGGTTGCCTGATTCATAACAGTAGCGAAGTTACAGTAATGAAGTAGCAATGAAAACAAATGTCTGGCTGTGTGAAAGGATGGCGGCATTAGGAAGGTTGAGAACCACTGCTTTAGAACCTGAGACAAGGACTAAATGTTCTCTGAACACACCTCCAGCCTTGCTTCGTAATTCTTCTCTCACAAAGCATTGACACTCTTGTGAAGGGCACCACGCTCACCTCCCCTGGCACTGACCCGAGCAGGGTGAATGGCAGTGGGCATTAGCAAGGCCATGACCAAACACAGCCCAAGCCTCCCTTCACATCCGTGGGGGCTGGCCTTCTTAAAGAAGGCAGACCCTCAGACTGAGAGGAGCGTGATGCATTCACTAAAGGAAGCCTCGGGAAGACAGGTGTGCTATGACGTGGCGGTCCACGCGTCCACCTCCATCTGACTCACCTTAGGTCTGTGAGCTGACTCAGAGTTCGCACAGAAGGTCCAGGTACTGTATGTCCACCGTGTGCTTTGCCTTGGCCAATGGCGATGTCTGCGGAGTGAAGGCAGATCTCGGGGGCACTGGGCTTGGCCGTCCAAGTTCAGGATGGCTGATTCTCGGCTCCGCTGTCACCAACGGCTCTGTGTGTCTGCTCCTCTTCAGAGTCCAGTGCCTTGCCTGCTCTGTCTGTCTGTCTTCAGGATCCTAGCGTTAGCGCGTGTCTACCACACGGGCTTGCTCATCAGAATTCCCCGAAGTCCTTTGAATGCCATGGTCAAGCCATGGAAATGAGGGAACAAGTTCAGCTGGGCCATTCGGCCCCGCTCTTAGAAGTCAGTGAGCGAGTCGTGTTCCAAACCGTGGGCCACAGGGAACAGTGCTGGTGTCAGTGAACCCAAAGTTAGGAGGCCAGCATTCTCGAGGATCCTTCCGGAACCGAGGAAGTCCAGTCAGTGTGGCGAGTCCTACTAATATGGACACACTCCTCCAACTCTGTACCGGGCACCTGTGCTCCTGCTCTGCCCACGGAGCCGGGAGCCAGGCAGCTCACGTTCACCGAAGGGTTTACTGTGGGATCCATGCCAGCCCATCACCTTCACTGAGGTAGGTATTTCTGTCTTCATTTTAAAGCCGAGAAGCTGGCTTTGGAAGGTTTGAAGGTTTTGTTGGGGAGAGCTTTTGTGGCCGGCCCCAGCCGGCCCAACCCCAGCCCGGGCCCTCACGTCATCGTGGTTGTGCTGGGCCACGGGCGGGGGTCTCGCCACACTGCCCAGAGCCGCTCCCCCGGGGGGCTCATGAGCATTGCTTGGCAGCCTTTGAGAAATCACCCTCGCCGGAGCTTTTCACTGAATTGGTGGGGCCTGAACAGCCGTGTTTTGGAAACTCCGTGCGTGACA